TAGAAAAGCCACAATTGCCACTCTCTGCAGCCCTGAGTAATGCTCTGTCTGCCATTCCAGGCACACACTCAGCAAAGGTCACCAGCTGCATGGAGCAATCACAGCATTCCATCCTTACCCTGGGACTCAGACTACACCTCAGCATTCTGCAACCAGCAGGAAAATCTGGCAGGAGGGGGAGAAGCCAGGGCTGCTAAAGCTGCATAAAACGAATTTTTCCTTCATGCTTTCTGTCATGTTTCTTGAGGGGGCTCCTGGGTTCGCTCCTGAGCTCCCACTCAGCGCAGTACAGACTCCTCAGGCCTTGTCACATTATCTCTAAACAGGGAACCTTTTTGCAAAGCTGAAGGAAGGTAAACCTCTGTCCTTGCAAAATACTCCTGGTACTTGCTTCCCTCTAAATGATTGCTCCTCCTGATTCCTCCATCCCTGTTCAGCTCCTAAAGGTTTCACAGTGATACTGAAATGTGTTAATCTGGTAGCTAAACCAATACTTTTTCAATTAGAGATTTAATTGACCTTGTTTTGTTTTTCGCCAAAATTGGCCTCTTAGCTGCCTGACAAAGCTTGCTGGATGCACAGGCAATCCCCACTCCTCACACAGCACCAGCCTCTTCTTGGGATTCCTTTTGCTTATGTGAGCAATTTCATTTGTCCCAAAAATTGTCATCCAATAATTACCATGCCCCTTTTAACAACAAGAACTGACAATTTTTAGCAGTTTTATTACCTTTTCTTAATTGATTACTTCCCTTAAAAGGTGACTCTAATGTCCCTACAATAGCAGTCAGGATCTTATTTTTTTGAAGTACTGATTAATCAATTTATTTGATTAATAGGAGACATACTTTAAGGACAAACATACAAAATAATTTCAATAATCCCCAAATCAAACTGTTACTGAACTTTCATATTGTAACTACTCAGTTTAAAGTTTGGAACTGTTATGTATGCATAAATTCAGTAGGGATAACTTATCTAAAATCTACATGATACACTTAGATTTGTTATGAGAAAAAACAATTTAAGTCAGATGTCACAGTATTTGTCAGCCTCAGGACATTTTTAATACTTCATAATGTTTATTAAGGATATACTTCCCCACAGGAATCTACTTACCTCTCTTGGATTTTACAGAACAGCTTGGGTTTATTTCCATACTGGCACTTCAATTCATATGAATATTCTTTCAAATACATTGATTAATGTGCAAAATGGCCACAGTGACATCTGATGTGACTTGTGCATAATATCTCACTATTATAAAAAATTATTTTCCCATGCTGCCCAATGGTCAGATGCTCGTTTTCCTTCCAGGAGCAGCCAGCTCAGTGTGGGAGTAAAACACACACAGTGTGTGTCTGCCTTGGGAAAAAGATACACTTTCATATCCTCTTTAAATGGAGGGTTTGAATATTTTTTTCCTGTATTCAATGTTCTCTTAAACCAGTAACTTTCTTGGCCTCTGATGGCTATTTGTAGTGTTCTGCTGAAGGCTTTATCTGCAAACAGTTCCTATATATCATTCCTTCAATTGCCCTCTTTGAATTTCACTTTCACATCAAATTTCGTAGGTGATTTACTTTCTCTTTGACTAATACCTCCTGAGAAATGATTCCATGAATGAAAATAAGGGATAGACATCAGTCTTAGGTGAGGATCCAGTGGGAAACCACATGAAATGCTGTAGAAGTCCACAACATATGATGCTCACAACAATATTAGAAAACACTTTCATTAATGACCTACAGGAGGGAGAGAGCATTGCTGAAAGATGAGAGGAGCCACAAGCTGCAATGAAAATGCAAAACTATAGAGCTCCCTCAGGCAGCTGGGAAACTCATGCAAGGAAAAAAATGTGATCATGTGAAATTATAAATATTATGAAGATGGGAGTAAAGATTCATTGTAAGCTGTCTCTTCCAAGGAGCATTAAATGATGCTAAGAGATTCAAAGCAAGATCTACTGCACTCAGGCAGTTCTGCTGCAGAACTTCTTGCCATGGGATATTAAGAAATTTACATGCATTCAAAATGCCAGGAGGCTGACAAAGTGCTCAGAATCACTGGAGAGCTGCCCTGTGTGGCACCCACCTCTCACCACTGTCAGAGCTGGTAGGGCTGCTTCTATGCTGCTCAGCCGAAGGTAACGAAATATGAAACCCACAACACTGAAGGGAAAATCCTGAGCATAAAATAAGATCTGTCTAAAAGAAGTTTGAAGCAACTGAATTAGATAAATAAATAAATAAGGAAGCAAGCAGACCAGTGCTAATCCAAGACTGTTTCTGCAAAAGCCCACAAATCCAGGTGAGCTGCTGTGAGCACACCCAGCTTGCAGCTGTAGGCGTGGGGTCCCTTACCTCCAGGATGGCTGAAGGATGGCTTCATGTAAGAACAACCGCTTGATTAAGAGATGAGCATGTGATTTATGAAGGATAATTTAAGGAAAGATCCTTGTAACTTACTTAAGCAATGATGAAAACCAAAAGTGACCAGGGGAAGAAATATTTTACATTTATTTAAAGAGCATGAACTTTATAATCAAGGGGAAATAATTAGGCTTGTAACAAAAAGGCCCAAAGTTGTAAAGGAATATGAGGTAAAATATCAAGAAGTATGATCAAAGTTGGGAATCACCTTGCTATGGCTTGTCACACACACAAAATATTGACAAGGAGAGTTCATTGAATGCGTGGTAAGGGACAATGATTGCTGATCTGTTGGAAAGAACAGTGGTGCTCAGGACTCCTCTGTGAGCCTGATGCTCACCCTGGCAATGTGTTCAACAGGTGCTACAGAAATTCTGTTATTTCTCATTATTTCCTCTTTCATGGCCAGCAAAACTGTTATTCACAATCACTTTTTTCTGGAATACACGTGCCATTAGTTACACCTGATGTTGAGAACAGCCATACCTTGGGGTGCTTCTGCTGCCCAAGGCTAACCTGATCTCAAGAGCAGAGGGGTCACAGTAAGGAGCACTCCTAGGTTTAAAAGCTGCAATATAGAATAGTAAGCAGTTGCTCATTAGCCAGCTGCAGAATGACAGGGCAGACCAGTCAGGGAGAGCTAAGATGCTTTTCCTGCTATTTCACTTCCAAATCAGTTAAAATACTCAGGGTGCTCCAGGTGCTGAAGCCCTACAAGCTGTGTCAGCTCTACACTGTGTGCCACAACATCCCACTCCACCTCACACAGAGTGAATCTCTCAGCTCTGGCCAGAGAAATGGGGCCTCTGGAATTCAACATACACTGTGCCACTAGAGGAACCTCTTCCTTGGAAAGGTTTTTTATGGGAAATCAAAGGATCTTCTTTCCAGCCCAGCACCAAATTGTGGCTGTGGGCCACAATAAACTCCCAACAATCTCTCCTCTCTTGGCCTGATGTCCTACAGGATCTCAAGTGGAGAAGTGACCATCCATCCATTTCACTCCTTCTAAAGGCAAAGCATCAGGGCTTATTTCTCAGAGCAAAATCCTAATGCATCGGGTAGTATTTGAGATGGTGGGCCATTATTTCTGAAGACTGGTGGAAATCCTGTTAGCACACAGGTTACCTACAAGCTGTTAGATCAGCAGGAGGCCTGCCAGGGCAATGGGATAAGAGGCATGAGCTGCTTTTATTAAAGTGTCATTTTTGATTGAGCACAAGAATAAGGGTGGTGAGGGGGTCTCAGAACAGAGGGGGAAAGCCTACACCTTTGTTTTGGAGGATCTTCCTGTCCCTGCACAGGGTCCTACCTCAGCAGCTTCCAGCATCAGTGTTATCCTGCTGAGTGCCCTCTGAGCTGCATTCCAAACCCACAAGGGAGCTGCCTCCTGGGCCATCTCTTCAGCAAAGAAAGAGCAGGAGCTCAAGACACAGCTTGGTGGGTGCTGGGCATGCATGAGGGATGAACAGAAGGAGGAACCAGGGAAACCAGGACCCTCCCAACACCACATGGCACATTGGACAACATCTCTTGTAGAAGCTGCTGCGCACCAGTCACAGGGGCCAGTCACTGCCACTGTGTGGAGAACCAGGGCAGGTTAACTTCCAGCCAGACCACAACTCCACCTGCTCCAGGCTAGGCCATTACAGTCCTGTGCCTTGTGTAGAAACCTGGTGGGAGCAAGCCATGGGGTAAAGCGAGGCAAAAGGGGCTGCTGGAGCCCACTCTTGTGAACATCAGTTAGCTCTGTCCAGTGTGCCTCCCACACTGCAAACAGCAGCTCTTGAGTCTTCTCCAGCTTTCTGGCTGTCATGCATGCCAAAGGCTGGTCCTGGCCCAGCCCTGCAGCTCAGGCTGCTCCTTCCTGCTGGAGGATTCTCCACACAGTGATATTCCACACCCCCTTGTTCCACCTCCTTACAGTACCATGACAGGACTGACATGCATCTAAAGCCTTAACGTTAAAAGCTGTTACCTTAATAAAATTTAACAGATTAACAAAAAAATAACAAAGAATTATCCCCAGAAACCTCCAGGGTAACGTCACTTGAGGAGGCAAATCCAGTCAAAGTGCAGACATGGTGCAAACATCTCACTGGGACTCACCCATCATTCCCACACTGCATGCTGCCCACAGCTGTACTAGCTGCCCACGCCATACCTGGGCATCCTTCTGTGGCCAGAGGAGCAGAGATGAGCCCTTTCCCTTCAGCAATGCCTACCCAGACATGGTCTCTGGGAGGCTCTCTTCTTGCTCTTACCAAGACCTTGAAACACTGTCATCTTTTTTTGCATGCCTGTTGTCCTTCTCTGATTGAAAGTCCCTCTGTTGCATGCCCAAATCACTGGTACCACACACCAGGCACAGCACATGTCGACATGCAAACACCAAATACAATTCTGCCAAGAATATCTGATCTGCCTGCCATCAAAAGCAGGAGAGTGGACAGGCTGGGGAAGTTTATTCAGAAAAATGTCAGCCTGCCCATGCCACTACCTTTTCTTCATGGGGGGATGAGCATGGCTGGGAGCAGCACAATAGGGGGGTCCAAGAGATGTGATTACCTGTATCCTGTCTTCTGGCAACTCTGTTTTCATGGCCAGCATCTCTCTAGCATACACGTCAGGATAGTGGGCCTCATTGAAGGCCTTCTCCAGCTCCTCCAGTTGATAGGATGTGAAGATTGTCCTGAGGGGAGTAAAACTCTTTGATCAAAACACAAGAAGCAGCAAAGATGATGAAGAGTCAGAGAAATGGACACTGAAAACAGTGAAACCTGGGTGACCGGCTAATACATAGCTTTTCCCCACCTCCTGTGTTTCTGTGCACAAAAGGTCAAGTGCCAGGGTGAAAGGAGAACCAGAAAATGCCAGAAGACAGAATTTTTAACAGTTACAAATCACCTTCCCTTTCAGGGACTTGCCTCTGGAGACAGTGCCCCCCCAGCAGCCAGTGCCCGCAGCGATGGCAGCTGATCGGACACTTGTGAGGATCATCATATCACATCCTCTGCATCCCATCTGGAGAGGTGCTGAGCCCTTTCCCAGCTGCTGGTCCTTAGCCTCTTCAGTCTCCAAGAGCAAATAATCCTTCACCTTGAGTCTCAGTCTTTGGACAAATTCTCCAAATGTTTTCTCCACCCTAACCCACCAATTTTCACCAGTTCTTCCCCATGAGAACCCGGACCAGCTCCCTTCCTCTGCCTCTCCCCTGGCTGCTTCCACTCCAAAATCTCCTTAGCTGCTCCCTGCCAGTTTGTATTACCCCATTATCCTTTAGAAATCCTCCTGGGCTGCCCTGGGCAGGCAGCAGCCCAACCTGCCTCACGCAGCCATTCTCAGTTTGGGACAACCAAATTGAAAAATCAGCAGCTGGAAAGCCGAGACAGATGAAAGCCCTTCCCTAGCAGATGGATGAGAAGTCTCGGACCACTTCCACTCCCTGAGGGTTAAAACTCCCATCCTTCAACTCCTCCAGTACAAAAAGCACAATTTTAGATAAAAGCTAAAAATACTGCAATGGCAAAAAAAACCTCCAAAGCCCTAAACAACAAACAAACAAAAAACCCCAACCAACCAAAAACCAAAACCAAACCAAAAAACTCAACCAAAAAGCCAAATCAAACAAAAAAACCCTCAACCAAAAAACCAAGTCAAACAAAAAAAAAAAACTCAACCAAAAAACCAAACCAAAATAAAACAATCCTAAACCAAACAACGAATTGCAGCCCTTTTGCAAAGTAAATGTGTAAATTTAGCATCAATCGAAAAAACGTGTATCTCCCAGACAGAAAGAGGAAATAGTCATTTTCTAAAATACATCCAAATTTCAGAAAAGCCTTTCAGTGCCAGAGAGCATAAACAGAAAATATCAGAAATATCCTCTGCTATACAAAATGGAAAGGATTCCACCAGATCGATAATAATGCTAACAAAAGCAGGATGCAAATGCAAGGGACCTGCCTGCGATCAGACCCTTCTTTAAATTCACTTTTAAATCCATTCTCTTTTCAAACAGTTTTTCTTCAACTCTGACAAATCTGTGAACTCTAGGGACAGCAGAGGCACACTGAATCATGTATTTTCTCTCTCTGCGACCACAGGAAAAATTATTCCAATTTTGATCCAGTTTAGATTTTAAGCATTCCCCTCCATCTTCCTCCCACGAGAGCGCGGAAGCCGGTCCAGCCTCACCGGCGGGAGGGTTTTGCTGGCATTCCGCTGAAGTTTCCCCTTTTTGCTCATGCCCGGGTAGTTCCCGTCCCTTCTGCAATTCCCAACCCACTGCCCATTCGGTGTTTCTATCCTGCAGCTATTTGCAGGCTATTGGCCAGTCATCTTCCAGCCCTTCCTCGCTACAATTAGAGGTCTTAACAGTTTACAACGAAATGTTGAGCTACAGACAAATGTTGCAGGTCTGTTTCTGTCTAGAAATGAAAATAAAACAAATCTGAATTTCGTTTCCTATCTCTCATCCAGACCGGGACCTGTATACCAGCCTCAGCTGTGTTATCGCCCAGCCCCGTCCGGGGTGCAGAGGAAATGAGCTCGTTCTTACCCCAGAGCACCCAAACTGGGAACATTTGCCTGGGGAGAGGTCCGGCTTTGGAAAGCAGCCCTCCAGACCGAGCCTCCTGTTGCACACACAGCAGGATGTCTCCCGGGATAGTCGGTCTCCTTCCACCCCGCATCCTGCTAAGCTTTCACTGGAGCGTCTTTTAATCCACCTTTCCTGCATCGTGGCAGGATTGATTTAATTATTCCTAAATCACCCTCAGTGGATGGTGTTTGGCCTTCCTTTGTCCTGGCGCTCTGGCCACAGCAATGCCAGAACCCAGCACGGGATTTTTCGTTTCTGTTTATAAAGCGCAAACAAACCAACTCCATTTTAACTGTGGGAGAAGTCAGGCAAAGTCTACTACCCTGACCGTGCTTATAGGAAACCAAATCTCAAAGTGGATCTTCGTTTCCTTAAACAGTTTCCCAACCTTCTTCAGCTTCTTTGCAGGCTGTCTCTGATTCCCCACTATTTAACCTATTGGCAAAATATTTATTTTTACGTAATAAAATATTTAAATTATTGATAAGAATTCTATCTTGCTGACAGCCAGTATTAAGATTGCTGCATGTGGAGCTGAAAACGGCTTTTATTATTTCTGACAGGTTCATGATTTTCCCTTCCAAACACTGATGATCCGCATTCCACCGCGGCTCCTAGGCTGGACAGGATTGCGACCCGGGATATCTGGACCCGCAGCCAGAAAAAATTAAATAAAATTACACCTGTGGTCGAACCCCCCACTCCCTGTAGGCACGTCCCCGTATCCAATCTGTTTTGGACGGGGGGGAAGAATAAGGGGAAGGAGCCGCTGGAGAAGCCGCAGGAGTGCCGGGGCGCTCCGGGGCCGGGGAGAATGTTTTGCTCCAGGCCGGAGCGGGTCGGGCTCGCCGCTGGCCGCTTCCCCGGGGACTGAGGCGACGGGAGCGGGCGGGGTGGCCGCCGTGTCTTACCTGTGCCGCCTCTTCTTTCGTTTCTTGCTCTGATTTAGGGAGGATTTGGACATTTTTCGGTCGCTGGAGGAGACATCCTCGGAATCTGCGGAAAGACAGGCAGCGGCTGTGGGCTGGGGCTCGCTCCCCGCCAGAGTCCCCCGGGCAGGGCCAGGCCCGCCGGCTCCGCTCCCTCCGCCGGCTCCGGCCGAGGATTTCGTTGCGATCGCGCCGCGGACGGGGCCCGACGCCGGCTGCTCCTCCAGCGCGGCACCGGCGCCGCTCCCGCTCCGCTGCGGGCAGCTCCGGGCGGTTCGCCCCAGTCAGGGAAGGCTCCGGGCCGGGACCGGGCTCTCGCTCCCGCCTCTCTCCACCAGAGTCGTTTGCTGAGGCTGCTGTTGCCTCGCTGCCAGCGCGCAGAGCCCGGCGAGCTCAACCAAACCGTAGGAGAACGGGAAAGCTGCAGCCCCCGCTCCGCGGCCGGGCAACCGCGACCGCCTGCCCCAGCCCGGGGATCCGGGACTGCGCCCCGGAAACACCGGAGCGGGGAGGAAGAAACGGAGGTTTACGGAGCTACCAAGCAGCAAAAACAAGCCCCGGGAGGAGCTGCTGCCTATCCGCCGCCCCCGGCTCCCGAGGGATGCCGCGGCCCGGGGGTGCTGAGGGCAGGACGCCGCCGCCTTTGCCCCGAAAGGAGCAACCGGGGGACGGATCGGGGACCCGTATTTCGATGCGCGCTCCGGTCCCACTCCTGCCCGCGGCGCCGCGCCACCTGCCCGGCCTGGCCCCGTGCGGCTCGGCGGGCCGTGCTGCGGGCGGGGGCGACGGGCACGGCCCGGGACGGGCGCCGCTGCCGGAGGGAGGCCGGGAATCGCCCCCGAAGCCCGGGTCCGGCGCTGCTGCCTGCCGCTCTGGGGAGACCCGAAGCAGCGGCGGAACGGGCCTGTAGGCAGAGTTGTGGGAGGCTGCTGCCGTCTAGGAAAAGGATGCCGAAGGACCCCAATTATCCGGCAACACGGGGTCGCGGGGGCCGCTCCGACGGAGCTCTGCGCATCCCTAGGCCGGGCGATCGGGGCCGCCCCATCACACCGCGGCCGCAGCCCCGGACGGGGGAAAATATGGTCCCGCCCGCCCTTCTCCTCATTCTCGGGATCGAAACGAAATCTCCCTTCCACCGCCGAGCAAGCGGCCTCCCGCCGGGACACGGGGTGCGGGCGGCGGCTGGGTACGGGCGGCGGTGCTGGCGGGGCGCAGCGGGTCCCTGGGGCCGGGGCCGTGCCTACCTGAGCTGGCCGTCTGGCTGCTGTCCAGCTGCCCGGGGGCCCGGGCCAGCGGCTGCAGGTGGACGCTCTGGGGGTCGGAGAGCACCTCTAGGAAGGTGGGCTGGGTGTAAAAGCCGGGGATGCCGCTGGCGCCCAGCAGCCCCATGCCCACGCCGCCCACCCCGGCGGGACTGAGCACGGAGCGGGCCGCCAGCAGGTGCCCGGCGGGCAGAGAGTCCAGGGCGGCCCGAGGGTGCGACGGCGGCTCCTTGTTCAAGCCCAGGATCTCCTGGATGCCGAAGCCGGTGCAGCGGGGAGGGGTGGGCCCGGAGTTGGACTTGACCCCAGCCGCGGGGGGCGGCGGAGGCAGCGGCGGGGCGGCGGGGGCTGCGGCCGCGCCGTCGGGCTTGGGCTTGCCGGGCAGGCTGGGGGCCAGCGCCGCGCCCGCTTTGCCCGTCATGCTGCGGCCAGCGGTCCCTGGTGCCCGCTCCGGGAATGCCTGGGAGCCCCCGGCTCAGGCCCCTTTTATCCGCCCAGCCGGGAGCCCGAGCGGGGTCAGAGCCGCGCAGCCAATCACAGGGGCCAGCCGCGATTAGGGATGCCAAAAAGCCGCACCGGCGGCGGCGGGGCCGCTGCTTGGCGGGCTGGGGCCGGTGCCCGGCAGCGGACGGGGGCTGCCGCCCGCCCCTGCGCAAAGAGAGGGCGGCCCGGCCCCGCAGGCCCCGGCCCCGCTTCGCCTCCAGCCGTGCTGGGGAGGTGGGGTTAGGAAGGGAGGGAGGGAGGGATGGAGGCATCCCTGCTTTCATAAACACGCACGGCGTGGGGCACCGGCCCTGGAGGAGAGATGCGCAAGGCTTACGTGTAGGGAAACCTCTGGCTTTCCTGCTTATCCCATATTCTGAGATAAATAAGTGGTCAGAAGAGAAATTAGGCCCCACGCAGGTGAGCTAAGAATTAAACCTGAGCAATGTTCCTTGAAAACACTGACCTGGAAGGTTTGCACATTGGAGAAGCGTTCAGCTCCATGCCATCAGAGGAAGTGAAACAGTTGCTTGGACTCTCTAGACTCCCATGGCCATGAGCAGGGTTTCTGAACCCACAGTTTCTTGTTAATTTGCCTTTTTCCATCTGTGGGCAAGACACCACACACCTCATCCCTGCCAGCATTAGCCCAGCCAAAGACACTAAACTAAGAGAAACCACAAGGCTTCTCCTGTTCTGCCCATCCCGAGGCAAGGGGAGCTGCCCCAGCACATGTCCTGCCACAGTGGCCAGCAGGGCTCCTGCAGCCTGCTCACAGGCCGGGTAATCAGCGGGATACCACACTGGGGCTGAGACTGTAGCTCCAGGTCAGCATGGAAAATCCATCCTCTGCCTCAGCTTCGAGGAGAAGCAGCTCCCTATTGCTCCCCTTCACTGTTTTACAGGCCTCTGGGGTGATTCATCAGAATAAATGTCACTAGCCTTCCCATGAAGGGGAATCTGTCCCCAGGGGAAACCTGTCCTCCTGGTCTCTGGAGAAGGCTGTCCAGGGCCAGGTGCATGTGAAACAAGGGCAGGGACTCTCTCTGAAATTTGTGTTATCCATCCAGGATGGCCACAAGTGTTTTGGACTGCCCAAAGGCCATGTCCTGCATACTTTGGAAATCCTGGCTTAGAGTCTTGGCCAGCCAAAGAATTGGGGCTTCTGCAGATGCTGAAAATCATGCCTTCCCTGAGCAAACCAAGGGCAGCTCCACTGTGATGGCAGGATTGCTGAGACTGTCTCATGTCAGAGCAGCAACGTAGTCATGTTCCCAGCCATTATTTTGAAGAAATTCATATTCCACAAAGATTGAAATGGTTCAGAAGAAGTGAGTGAAGACTGCCAGAGCACTGGGGTGGCCAGCTGCTTTCTAAAGGACAGGAAGCTGGGAGCCAAATGCATTAAGAGTCATAGGAGCAGGTTTCCCCCAGCCCTGGCCCCATCTCACTGTACCTGAGCAAGGCAAGCAGAGCAGCTGTGGGCTGTAGCCAGACTCAGCCTTCAGTCCAGATCACAGACATGTTCATGGGGATGAGGCAGCTCCAAGTTCTGGCCATGAAGTCGAGTCCCTGAGTGGGGGTCCGGATCAGTAGGTCCATGGCCTGATCCAGGCCTGTAGCTCAGGCAGGAGCCAGGAATGAGACCCTCAGTTTAAAAGCAGCTGCCAAGCAGAGGAGAGAGGAGCCCCTGCTGAGGGTCCCTCCAGGGCTTTCCCAGCAGCTGCCTGTGTCAGTGAGCTGACCTGGAGCAGCCAGCCTCTCTCCTAGAGGGTGGGGAGGTTGCACTGTACACTTTGTCAGGGACATATCAGACAATCCTAACACCTCAAACTTTGGTTGTGCTTTGTCTGCATTAGCCAGTTCTTGGTTTGACCTCTGTCCCACCCCATTGGGGCTCCCCAGGTATGGTGTGCAATTTCCTTCCCTAGCATTCATGTGGAGTTACACAAGCTGTGCCTCAGCATGACTGGGTCTGTTAGGGTAAAAATTCAAACTATCATCTTGCCAATAAATTATTCAGAACTTTATTATGATTTCTCTTATTCTCAAGTTCTCTGTAAACTGATCCAAATTTCTCCAGAAACAGTTCCTCCCCAAACATCTCTGAGGCAGAAAGACATTGTGTGGGTTATGTGCCCCAAGCTGCAGTCTGCTCTAGAACTAAACCCACCAGTTATAAAGCACTCTGAAATGTTGTAATACCTCTGTGTGGTGCCAGCATCAGTGTGAGGAGGTGCACAGTGTTGTTCTGCCTGAAGAACTGCCCAGAGCTCACAGAGGGTGTGGATAAGCACAGGGGCTGCTTCTCAACTTGAGCCTGTGTTCTGACAGCTCTCTGTACACCACAATTTCTCTCTTTTTCCTTCAGACCCAGCTCTGCATCCCTGCCCAAGGACAGGTAGAGGGGTGTGGGTTATTTGGGTGTTCTAGCTCAAGCTAGACACAGAGCTCAGTTTGTCAAGCCCATCAGAGTTTATCAGCCTGAAGTCCACTCTACAGCATGTGTCACCTTTATCACTTTTAGCCTCCTTGATGGGTGATTAGAAATAGTTCATACCAAGTTAATGCTCTGACCACTGTCAGGATATAAAGGTGTAGACACAGGGGCTTTCTGATCTATACTGAAGTTTCTCATATATCAGTACTTATTTGTATTACTTAATACCTCTCTAACTAATTTCTGACAATATTTTTACCCTGTCTTCACCAGAAAAAAATCTGGCTTTACATAAACTTTCCTCAGCTACATGACTCAGATGGTTTCCTGGGGAGAGAAACATTAGAAACCTTGAATTCTCTCACATTTTTCTGATCCAGCTCATCCTTTTTCCTTTTCCGTAGTTCATCTGTCTTATCCTTGGGGCTGAACTTTTACACTTCTCCCATTTGTTTGCAAATCTATCCTTCATCCAGCTACATTGGGCGGACTTGGTTCTTTCTTCAGTCTTAGCTTTACTTCAACCTTCTCCTATGTCCTGGAAAACTTGAATCCCAGTAGAAGCAATGTTTGTTGTTAACCCCTTAGTCTCTAAAGAAGTGTTGCTTCTTCTCCATTTCCATAACAGAAGCATGGTCTTTGCTGCCTCTGTCAGCACTGGGATCAAAGCTGTCCTTGTCTAGACAGACCTCAGTGGATAAAAGTGCCTTTAAAAAGATGGAGGGCAATTTTTTACACAGGTAGACAGGGAGAGGACAAGGGGGGGATGGTTTTAAATGGATTGAGGAGACATTTAGATTAGATGTTAGGAAGAAATTCTTTACTCAGGGAGTAATGAGGCACTGAACAGACTGCTCATAAAATTGAAAGTGTCCAAGGCCAGGCTGCATGGGGCATAAAGCAACCTGGTCTAGTGGGTAACATCCCTGCTCATGGCAGGGAGGTAAGAACTGCATGATCTTTAAGGTTCTTTTAGACCCAAAACATTCTGTGATTCTCTTATGATTCAAACAGATAGGTCAGAACAGATCTCCCTGGGATCTTCCATCTCCTCTCCAATGGCTTTTGGGTTCTTCCAGCACTGCATCAGTTAGCCTGATCTCCTCTGCAGTGCAAGTGCATGCAGCTCCTGCCTATCTCCTTTCAAAACTTAAATATATAAAAATACTATGAATAAAAGTCTCTCTTAGTATGTTTTTGTTTTAGATAGGTTCTTAAACTTTGGGGAGCACTGGTGATCCACTGAAGTCACAGTCACTGGACATTTTTACATTATCCTTGCACCATATGTTGCACTGTAGATGGATATAAGACATGATAATGCTAATATTAGAAGAAGAGACTCTTGCTGTATTAATCAAAACTGCTGAGACATGAAGGCTGACCAGAGCAATCTGCCTACAGATGTTTTAAATTCTGTCTATCATATAAAGTCTTCAGACCAAGGCTGGAAGTTTGTAAAAGATGATCTATAACTCATCCAGAAGATATTGGCCCGATGCAGAAATTATTTGGTTTTGTAGCCTATTTTATCTCAAAGTTCAGGCTAGAAGGTTGTAATGTTCCCTTCAGGCCCTAAAATCTTGAATTCCATGGAGCTCATAGTGTCTGATAGGGATGCTCTCTCTATATAAAAGCCTTCCCATATAAGAAGCTTCTGATGTCAAGTGTCCTATTGAACATACATTTTTCTTTACATGTCAGTCTATGGATGTCTAAATAATCAAAGATACAAAGTTCATGATGACAGGAGATTAGGGCGCCTGTCATGCCCATGGCCAAATGCTCCCAGCTGGCAGCTGCTGGCTGAGTTACTGCAGCCCTGAGCAGACCTCTCTGTTTCTGCCTGCTCTGAATCATCCTGGGAGTTTTGAGCTGCACCTCCTAACCCCTGGGTAAAATCTTCATCCTACTGAAGACGGCAGGACCTTGGTCACTGACATTTAGCAGAGCTAGGATTTCACTTTGCTTAGCACTTCTGACATTTCCTTTTTTTTCCATTATACCTCTCTTTCTCTCCTGAGAGAGATGCATCCATATTTCTCGTGTTTTCTCTCTGGCTGAGCACCTCCACTCATGCCACGTGGAAGATGCAGCTGCTAGGACTCAGCCATGCTGCACCACAGGCAGTTCAGGCAGTTCCTCTGTGCTGCAGTTTCCTGTGGCAAGGTCAGAATAACTCAGGACACCTCTCCTCTGGCACAGCTTGAGGTGTTGGGTGGCTCTGCTCTGCTTATGACAAGGGGTTAAACAAAACCTTTTCTGCATAGGGCTGCTGAGCAGGTAAGGGCTGGATAGCAAAGCTTTCTGTTAGCTGATTATATCAATAACTTCCTGTTGCCTGGAAATCAGAGGAGAAAAATGTAACCCTTTGGGCCAGTCTGGAGTGGGCGCTGCAAGTCAGAGCCCCATCACATCTGGTTCAGTTCCTCTCTCTGGGCAGTGCTGGATGGGGAACTCCAGAGGTTTATTGCCACTCTTCTCCAGCTCCTGAAGCA